AGGTGCTGGAGACTCACCAGGGAGCAGTGGCTGTGGGCCTTGGCTGCCGTCTGCCACTGCATTACCAATTGCCACCAATTTAGTAGCTTTAAAAAACATGCATTTATTCTGTTTTGGTGGGTCAGGAGCTCACTCACAATTCGGCTGGCTGGCTCAGGGTTTCAAGAGTGTTTCTTTCAGAGACTTGAGGTTCTCTCTGAAGGTCCATGGGTGCTGGCAGAATTCAGTTCCTTGTGGCCGTAGGACTGAGATTGCAGCTTTCCTGCTGGCTCGCATCCTGGAGCCACTGAGAGGTTCCCTGATACAAGGCCCCTTCCAGGCCTCCAGCGGCTGTATCTTAACATCCCCAAGGACAGAGCCTTGGATGATGCAACCAATCACGGACTCACTTACCACCCTTCTTGTGTCCTCTGGGCTAGACACCAACCATTGTGTTTCTCAAGGCTGTGACTCACTGGGGCTCACATTAGGTTGTGTCCGCCACAGGTTAGAGTGGAACTAAAATATTAGAGGACAAGCTGTGTTGGGTGCACTGGCATTTTGGCATTTGGACCTGGCCAGAGTGGAGAGACCCTGCCTTTGTTTTAGGAGAAGGCACTACTGTGTACAATAATGCCTGCTCCACACGCATCTAACAAAACTCCAGACCAAGCCCCAAAGAGCTCTGCAGGGGAACTGAGATTGAGGGTTGAATCTTACCAAGGTAGCAGGACTGGGGAAACACTGGGCTTTCCACAGATCGACACCGAGAAAGCATGAGAACAGGCCCACCCAGGCCCAGTAGTGAAACGACAGGCAAAGCAAACACCAGCAGCCTTCGGAGGAGGAAACAGAACAGACTCTCCTCACAGTGTCCAGTATTCAGTCGAAAATCACTAGACACACAAAGAAACAGGACAATGCAACCCACGGTCCAGGAGAAAAAGCCAATTATCAATTGACTTCCTCTCAACTTCAAATTCACCCTTTATTGCCTTCCTTAAAAAAGGGAACCTCAGCCAGGTGCAGTGGTTTGCATCTGTAATCCCAAGCCTTCGGGAGTCCAAGGTGGGTGGATCGTTTGAGCCCATGAGTTGGAGACCAGCCTGGGCAACATGGCGAGACTCCAGCTCTATAGAGAAATACAAAAATTAGCTGGGTGTGGGGCTGTGCACTTGTAGTCCTGAGTACTTGGGACATTGAGGCAGGAGGATTGCTTGAGCCTGGGAGGTCGAAGCTGCAGTGAACTGTGATGGTGCCATTGCACTACGGCCTGGGGAACAGAGTGAGACCCTGTCTCAGAAAAAAAGAAAAGAAGAGAAAAAATGAATGTGCTCAGTGTAAAGGAGAAATGCTTGAAGTAATTCTGCCCATGACTGTGGAGCAGGTATTGAAGGTTTGTGGGTAGCCCCCCACATGGGCACTGAGGACGGACAGCTGTGCAGACCCCAGGCACAATTAATGCCTTAAGAATATCTTAGTTTATGGTGTTATTACTCAGCTATTTCCTTTATATAGTCTTTCTATATAATCATATAATAACTTAATTGCTTGATATACCTAGCTTATATCATCATACTTAGTACTTACATCTAGCATACTTAGTTCCATATAATCTTTTTATGTAGTCATATAAATATTATAGTCCATATAATCATATAGATATCCTATATAATCATACAGGTATTGTAGTCGGAGCTGTACTGACACATTCAGTGCTGATTTGTAGAATCCTCCTATATAACCATACAGTAGTCTGTAGTAGGAGGAATGCCTACAGCAGTCACAGAACAGAAGCAGCACATGGGAAAACAGCCAGACCAGGATGAGAACCAAAGACCCAGGCGGCGGCGGCCCTGCCTGAAAGGCACACGCTGTATGGCAGGCTTGGAGCAGGAGCCTCTCCTCCTGATAAAGGAGCTGTAGCACCTTGCATCCAGTTCCTGTGGAAAGTCGGCCTCAGACCTGAGATCCTGGAAGTAACCGAGGGAGAAGAACCCTCTGGTGTGACCAGTCACGGCGGCCGGACACCCTGTCAGTCTTTTCTCACTTCTGTGCTAGCTCAAATCATCCTCCCATAAATATCTTAAGAGAAGAGCACACGTCTGTCAGCTCCCACTGCACTGGCTTACGGTATCCTTCTATTAGAAACCCTTTGAAGTCTCCAGTCCCCAGGTAAGACGTGTTGCCCACGACACCTGCTGCACACAGCCCATCTCCTTGCCTCGGTGACCTAATGGGGGTGGACCCCTTTTCTGTACATGACCCTCTGCTACTGCACACAGCACAGCCCTCTACTGCGCACGGCGCACCTCTCTGCCCAGGTGACCTAATGGGTGGCCCCCTCGCCTGCTACTCACCTGATTATCTATGCCCTATCACTAAGCCTATAGATGATGACCTCACTCACGACCCTTCCCCCTGCTTGTACCCAATAAATACAGATGCTTCCGAGCGTTCGGGGCCTCGCCTGTCTCCGCTCACAGCTGCTCTTCTCCAGTTCTTCAGTGTCCTGTCTCTTTACTGCTCGGATCCTGCATGTCAGCACAGCATAAGGGACACCCACGACCCTGTGGGGCCAGCAGGCCTACAAAGGTTAAATTTTGAGCCAAGAGGCAGTAAACTAGTGGCCGAAACACATCCTGGGGTGATACTAGGCAGGCACGCCCACCCGGGAGACAGACACGTGCGGGAGACGCGCACGGAAGTGTTCGTGGCGGCTGTATTTGCAGTCGTGCAGAACAGGAAGTCGAATGTGGTCCAGTAGTGAAAACAGACCACACCTGCTGCATGCGACGGCATGGACGCATCTGACACAGTGAAATGTGTGTGAGAACCAGACAAAAGGCTACGGACCGTGCATTGCCGTCCCTTTCTGTGAAGTTGAACAACAGGCAAATGTGATCCTGCTGTCAGCACTCACCTTTACTGAGGGGCAGGAGGGAGTGTCGTATCCTGGGCTGGGCGTGTTCTCCGGTGGCGACTCAGCAGGCACATTTGCAAGGTGTCACTTTTCTCTATTCCTGCTCAAAAAAGCCTTGTCTTTAAACCGGCAGACGCTCCCTCTGTGTTCCCCCTGCCTTTCCTCCTGCACTGGCCCAGCCGCTCAGCTCCTGGTGGTGTGGGGAGGTCCGTCCAGGGGTGGGGAGGCTCTGAGTTTCTGTTGCAGGCAATGGTGGGCGGTGGCCCTGGGAGGCTCATCCCCAAGGTGCAGTCAGGCTCACGAAGCCAGTTATTCCCTGGTAAGGTTCCCAGCTGCCTCACCGAGGGAAGGGTTGTTCAGAGGGGTGATCTCAGGACCTCCAGAGTTGCTAATGAGCTTCAGGTTCCCCAGGGAAATTTTCCCACCTTGAGAGATTCCCCCTTGAACCTGGTGCAGATGCACCGGAGAGACGGGATCTCAGGCGGGGCCAGAGGAAGAAAGCTCCGCTCTCAATGGGCCCTTGAGGGGGCCCTGACGCCAGACGCCAGACCCACTATTCTCTCTGGACCTGACCACAGGCACTGGAACCCCCATTCCCTCTGGAATTGACCACAGATGCCAGTTTCCCCATTTTCTCCGGATCTGACCACAGACACTAGACCCCCTCATTCCCTCGGGCCTGACCACAGGCGCCAGACCCCCCCATTCTCTCCAGACCTGACTGCAGAGGCTGGATCCCCCATTCTCTCTGGACCAGCTACAGAATGAGACACAATGGCTCCTCTTTCTCAAGGGCCGAGAGGAGGCAGCTGTGGGGCTGGTGGTCTGCAGAGCCTACCCACATTCTCCCCTCTGTCTCTGGGCACTGGAGGGCATGGCACCCCTGCACCGGCCCCAGCGGCTGCCCTTTTTGGCTCTAAGAGGTGACCCCATGCTGTTCAGTGCCCCTGGCCTCTGTTTAGCCTGCAAGCCTGCAATGGGCTGTAACAGCCAGGGGCCAGGAGGGGCTGGGGGCATTGCAGCTGGAAGCCCAGAAGCCTAGAAAGTGCTGTTTGCGGCAGGAGTGCGTGCTGGCCGCTCCCCACCGCGGTGGGTGCTGGGCTCCCCGGCAGCACGGCCTGGAGGGAGGGGCCTCCCGCTGCTGCCGCCGCTCACCATGGCAACGTTCCCAGCTGGGCCCTGTAGGTGGAGGTGGCAGGCCAGGTCGCCCTTCCCCCTCTCTGAGGGGCTACATCCCTCCTGGGCCTCCCTGGTAGAGCCAGGCCTGCCTCAGGCACACCCACACACTGGGTTGGAGGGTGGGCTGTCGGGGCTGTGGTGGTCTGACCTGCAGGCATGCTGCCCACTGCCAGCCAGGCCCCAGCGCCCCTGATCTGGGGGATGTGAGCTGCCCCTTGAAGGGAGGCTCCTGACGCAGGAGCTCCTCTGCTGCCACGGACACTGTTTCATTCCCTGCCTCCAGGGTGTGCCCGGTCCCCTGGGAGCCAGCCCCAAGGCATGGCCACGGGGGAGGACCTTGTCCTGGTGGCCATCTGGGGACCCAGGTGGAGTGGCAGGTGAGATGCTCTGTGACCCAGAGCTGAGGCCACACCTGTGCTGGGGCCAGGCCAGGGCTGAGGTCATCCTGAGACCCTGGGGGCCGGAGGGCCGCCTCGGCCGTGCTCCCCACCCTGCCGCCACGCCCCTCCCGCCTCTGGGCCGCCAGCCTCCACCTGCATGCGGCGGTGGTCCTGGGGTGATGGCCTGGCTGTGCCCCACGCACAGGTGGCTCGTCAGGCACTCGGAGGCTATTATTAACCCGGCAGTGGCGTCACCAGCAGCCAATGGGAGGCAGGTTTATTTCCGGGGCCGACAGCTTGATAGCGGTTAATTTTAGCTGCATCTTCTTTCCCGAGGCTCGTGAAACCCTAGCCAGCCAAAGGAGGGGTTGCCTGTGTCTCCCCCAGACAGCTCAGGGATGGTCCTGGGGGCTCTGGGAGGGGTCAAGGAGGGGCGGGGCCTCCTTCAGAGGATCCCTGATTGGCTGGTGCCCTCTCGGCTCGCCATCCCTCTGCCCGCCCCCCAGGCTGTTGGTGAGGGAGGTACTGTGACCAGGAACTCGGAGGCAGGAAGAGGGGCCCAAGACCTGACCTGGGGAGGGCAGGGAAAGCACAGGCCATGGCCAGGGTGGGCCCCAGACTTCCACGTGAAAGCCACACTGGCCTGGCTCAGGCCTCCTGAGCCCCTTACTTGCTGTGTGGCTTTGGACAGGAATCTTGGCCTCTCTGTGCCCAGTTGCCTCACAGTTCTCAGGGGCCTCCGCCAGCCTTGTGGGGCCTGCCTCGTGGCCTTGGTTCCTGCAGCTTCCACCCCCACACGCTGTGCACAGGGACAGCCCTGGTCCCCGGCCCCGTACGCTGTGAACTCACGCCGCTGGGTGAGTCGGCTGTGGCTGGTCACGACGCTTGTACTTGAAGTCATTCGCTGCTACCCAGCTGCGGACAAGGCTTCTGCCTGCTTGTTCTGCTGGGACCGAACCTGAGACTGGGTAATTATAAAAGTTCACTTTATAAATGTATAAATTCTGTTTATTATAAGTAAGCAAGTTTATTTCTCACAGTCTGGAGGCTGGGAAGTGTAGGGTCAAGGGGCTGGCATCCGCTGTGTCCTCAGGTGGGAGAAGGCAGAAGAGCAAGAGAACCCACTGCCACGAGCCCTGTTGATAGGGCACGAATCCATTCAGGAGGGCAAACCCTTTATGACCCAAACACCTTCCCAAAGCGCCAGCCCCCAATGCTGTCACACTGGGGATTAAGTTTCCAACTTTGGGGACGTGGTCAGACCACGGCGGTTATTCAGCAGCGAGGGTTCTGTGGTTCGTGGTCCTTCAGCCCCACTCAGTCTATGCGGCGGCTCAGACCCTCAGTGTGTTGGTATTCGGCCTGGTGACGGCAGCCCCGTCAGCTGTGTGTTCCAAGTGTCTCTGGGTACTGAGTGGGCAGCTCTCAGGACCCCGAAGGGCAGCACTGTGGACCAAGCACGTCCTGGCACCCAAGAGACCCTTACCCAGGGTGAGCACACAGGTGCTGTCGGGAGGACGCCACGTTCCACTCTCAGGGGCCACTCCTGTGGGTGGCAAGACCTCCCCAGCACATGTGAGCCCCCAGCACTGCTGTGGGTGAGCCAGGAGCCGGGGTGGGGAGGGGTGTCTGGAAAAGGTAGCCCAGAGTCCTGGTGGTCCCTCGGGGGAGTGGGGTGGGCATCCCAGGGATCCTGGCCTCCTGCCTACTGTGATCCACCCCGGCTGGGACCAGTCGAACACCTGCAGCAAGCCCGCCCCCCAAATCCCGGCCTAACCTTCGGCTGTAGGGGAGGCGTTAAATATAGAGACCAGCTGGGTGGGGTGGGGTGGGCCTTGCTTTCTCGCCAGGCGGCTATTTTTATTCCTGGCTCCTGTTTGATGGCATCAGCAGCACTCGGAAGTGCTGGGGCATCTGGCAGTCCTCCCAGCCGCCCCTCCTGCCTGTGGCCCTGGACGCCTATGGGGCGATGCAGCCACAGACCAGTGTCCTCCTGAGAGGCCCTCTCCAAGGGCTGGGGAGAACTGCTGGGCCCCAGCCACCACCCTGGGCCCTGCCTTTCCTTCCTGCTCACACCTGCCAGTGGGCCAGGCAGGGGTCTGGGCTCTGGGGATCCCCATGGCTTTGCCCAGCGGCAGGTGCTGGGCCGGACCTGGTGCCTCCACGTCAGCACCCAGTGGGCACTCAGGACTGAGAGGACAGGTGCCCGGGCTCTGCCCCCACTCAGCACACCCCTCCTGAGACTTCGCTGGCAGGAAGAGCCGAGTTGGGGGCGGGGGGCAGTGTGGGGAGGAAGACATGAACACCTGGGTGAGGTGACACAGTCTCGGGGTCTGGGAGGAAGTCCCTGATCCTGGTCTCCACGCAACACATAGTGGCCACGTCCCCTCCTCACAGCCCACGCTGGGCCACGTCCCCTCCTCACTGCTCACGCTGGGCCACGTCCCCTCCTCACAGCCCACGCTGGGCCACGTCCCCTCCTCACAGCCCACGCTGGGCCACGTCCCCTCCTCACAGCCCACGATGGGCCACGTCCCCTCCTCACAGCCCACGCTGGGCCACGTCCCCTCCTCACAGCCCATGCTGGGCCACGTCCCCTCCTCACAGTCCACGCTGGGCCACGTCCCCTCCTCACTGCCCACACTGGGCCACATCCCCTCCTCACTGCCCACGCTGGGCCACGTCCCCTCCTCACAGCCCACGCTGGGCCACGTCCCCTCCTCACTGCTCACGCTGGGCCACGTCCCCTCCTCACAGCCCACGCTGGGCCACGTCCCCTCCTCACAGCCCACGCTGGGCCACGTCCCCTCCTCACTGCCCACGCTGGGCCACGTCCCCTCCTCACTGCCCACGCTGGCATTAGGTGTGTGCCCAGGACCTCAGGGACTCCCCACTTTCTACAGAGCGTGGCCAGGTCTTTGGCATCCGGATCTCATATGATGACCAGCTGCAGGCACTGGGGTGCAGCCAGGTGGGGCGCTGGGCGGGAGGGCCTGGGTGTGTGGACCTGACTCGGGGCCCTGGCTGGCACTCAGCAGCGGCTGGCTGGCCGTAGGTGCAGGGGAGGGCAGTGTCCCTGGAAGATGTCCCTGGGTCTGGGAGCGGGCTTCCAGCCTTCCCTGCACGGTGGGACACCGGGGTCTCAGGGGGAGGGTGGTTCTGGGCCGAATCTGCCGGCAGAGGCTCTGGCCTGTCAGAGCGCGCCCCGGACGGCAGGCGAGGAGGACAGCACGTTCCGGGGCGCTACCCTGAGGCCTGAGCCCCCCGCCCCCGCCCCCGCCTCCCGGCCGCCGCGCGCCCCCCTCGCCGCCCCCGTCCTCCCGGCTCCGCCGCGCTCCTCCCCGGCCCCCGCGTCCGTCCCCGCGCCCCCCCGCCCCCCGCGCGCGCGCGCCCGCCCCGCCCCCCGCGCGTTCCGCATTGCCGTGCTGCAGGGCGCGGTGCACTGCGCCGCCACCGTCAATAGGTGGACCCCCTCCCGGAGATAAAACCGCCGCGCCGGCGCCGCCAGTCCCTCTGGCTGAGACCTCGGCTCCGGGTAAGGACGCTCGGCCCCCGCCCCGCCCCCGCCGAACGCTCGGGGCCCCCCGGGGCCGGGGCCGGGAGCAGAGGGCGGCCGGGCCCCGCACCCGCCCCGCGCGCCCGGATTCCGGCTCCTGGGGGTCCCCGCCTTGGCCGCGCTGGGCCGGGGCGGGGGTTGGGGAGCGGCGGGCCGGGTCCTGGGTGGCGATCGCCCTGTAGCCTTGACCTTGGGGCCGCGGGGACCCTGCGGGCCGGGGCGATGGGGTCTGGCCTCGGGGCGCTGGGCCGGAGGACGCTGAGGGAGGCGGTGAGACCTGGGGGCCTTCCCCTCCCCCACCCGTGTTCCCGCCCCAAGGTTTCCCTCCCCCAGCCGCCTGTCCCCGAGGGGGCACTGTGGGTTTCCCCACTGACCTCTGCGATGGGATGGGGCTGTGACCCAGGGCTCTGACCAGGGAGGAGGGGAGGGAGGGTCCCCCGATGCCCCCAAGGGGCTGAGGGCATCTCCACCTGGCACTTGCTGGGACTGGCTGGGCAGGGTCCCCCCTCCTCTGGCTGGAACAGAGACCCCCACCTCCTGGCCACTGTCTGCCCCGTGACAGTCTTGGGGGGGTCGAGCTATTCTGGGTCCCTAATCTGGGCAGCGCATCTCTGTCGGGGCTCTGGTCCAGCCTGCCCGGCGGGGATGAGGGGAAGATGGCGTCGTCCCTGCCTGAGGAGGGGAGTGGGGAGCAGTGGCCGTCTCTCCTGGGTGGCAGTGGGTGGGGGTGGGGCGCAGTGTCCCTGGCCTTGCCCGGGGAGGGGAGTGAGCATGGAGGACAGCGCCCTGGAGCACTGGGCAGGTGACTCATCACCCAGCTCTGCTAGTCACGGGCGCACCCAGCCGGGCGCTGCGTGGTCCCTCCAGAAGGGAGGCTAACCCCTTCGCAAGGACGGGCCGAAGGCTCCAGTGCCCAGTTATTTACAGCAGATGGGGCTGTTGGGGCTCACGTGTGGGGTGGGGGCAGGGCACAGCCTCTATTCGCCCCTGCCAGGCCCAGCACAGTGGTGGGGGGACTCTTCCCTCCTCACCAAACATGGGAGCTTAGTTTGTGGGTAGGGACGTGGGCCTAGCCTGGCCAGGACAGTCTCTGCGGGTCTCCCCAGGGCTCCTCACCTCCTGTCTCCCCCCACCACCGGCCCTACAGAAACACTGCAGCCCCCCTCGCCCTGAGCCAGAGCACCCCAGGTCCCGCCAGCCCCTGACACTCCAGCAGAATGGGTAAGGAGAAAACCCACATCAACATCGTGGTCATCGGCCACGTGGACTCCGGCAAGTCCACCACCACAGGCCACCTCATCTACAAGTGCGGGGGCATTGACAAGAGGACCATTGAGAAGTTCGAGAAGGAGGCGGCCGAGGTGAGTGTGGGGGCTCCGCTCTTCGCCCCCTGAGAAGGAGCCCGCCAGCTCCCGAGGTGGCCAGGCTTGGCATCTTCCCAGCCCCAGGCCATGTGGCTCAGGTGACCTCCGGGGCAGGAGGGACCCCCGCTGTGGGGCACTCAGGCCTCAGAGGGGCCCGTGGGTCAGCCTCTCTTAGGGGGAGCATGGTGGGGGAGGGGTGGCCACCGAACTGCCTGTCTTGCCCTGTGGTGAGGGAGATGGCCTGGAAGGGTCTGCAGCCCACACGTTGGGCTGGGGCTGAGGACCCTGGAGCCTTGCCCCCTTTCCCCCAGGGCCAAGGTTGGGGCTGGCGGTGGTGCTGCCCTCACTTGTCCCAGGGCCCTGCCAGGACGCACGCTGCTATTAATAGCTGATTGATGGGCAGCCGGCCTGTCTGCTCCATTTTCTCTGCTGGGCTGCGGAGGCTGCTGTCTGGGGCGGATCTGGGGTGGGGGTCCTGAATGGGGCAGCTCCGGGGTGGGAGTCCTGAATGGGGCGGCCCCGGGGTGGGGGGTCCTGAATGGGGCGGCCCCGGGGTGGGGGGTCCTGAATGGGGCGGCCCCGGGGTGGGGGGTCCTGAATGGGGCGGCCCCGGGGTGGGGGGTCCTGAATGGGGTGGCCCCGGGGTGGGAGGTCCTGAATGGGGTGGCCCCGGGGTGGGAGGTCCTGAATGGGGCGGCACTGGGGTGGGGGTCCTGAATGGGGCGGCCCCCTGGCTGACCTGAAGCAGCTCGTCTTTTGTGGCTGAGATGGTGGTGGGGGGTGGCCATGAGTAGGGGTCTGTTCTGTGGTTCCCCACCCCCCCACTCAGGGCTCTGGGGAGAACCCTACTTCTGGGAGGGCCTGTGGGAGCTCTCACCTGGATGATGAGTGGGAGGCCAGAGGCCAGGAGGGCAGTGGCTGTCCTGGGCTGAGCCTCTGCCCTGCGGGGTTGGGGCGCTCTGAGCTGCACCTGTTTGGGCCGGGAACCTGCATCATTCTTTACCTGGCCTCACCGGGAGGAGGCGGGGGTTTTGGAGGGCCGCTGGTTCAGGCCCCAGCCGGGTCTCGTCTGGGTCCTCTTCAGGCCAGGCAGCCTCCTGGAGGGCAGAGTCCTGTGTCTTTGAGGCCCTGGAGGGGAGCTCTGCCGGCTGAGTAGTGACCGCAGCCCGTCCCCAGCTGTGGGGATCTCACTGGCTGAGGCCCCCCAGCTTCCCCTGTTTGGCAGAGCGAGGAAGGGGAGGGGAAGCCTCAGAGGGACCGGGAGGCTGGAGCAGCAGGAGGGAGCTGTAGGGCCAGGCCCTCCTGACCTCATTCCCCTTTCCTTTCTCCTTACCTTTAAATAACACAGAGGGTTATTTATCTGACAGCCCCCAACATGGTGGCATTATTGGCCTCTGGCTGAGGAAGGGATCTGGGGGCGTCCGCAGCTTCAGATAAAGGGGAGCCCTCGCGGGGGAGGGGTTCATCCCATCTGGCGGCCTCGTTCCGAGACGGAGTGACTCCCAGGCCCTCGCGCCACCTGCTGGCGGATGTGCGTGGCCGCGCCCGTTTAGGGGCCGGTGGGGAGGCCGGCCCTGGGGGACAGGGTCTGGGTGTGGGTCCTGACAGACGGGGCTGGCGTCCCAGGACCCGGCGGGGAGCAAGGGGGTGCTGGAGCCCATCTCCCGTCTCTCCTGCCCGCTGGGCAGTGACAAGCAGCTCCCGCCGCCAGGGACTTGGGTCCCGGGTCCCGCCCTCAGACGTGACCCCCACCCGCTCCAGATGGGGAAGGGATCCTTCAAATATGCCTGGGTGCTGGACAAGCTGAAGGCGGAGCGCGAGCGGGGCATCACCATCGACATCTCCCTCTGGAAGTTCGAGACCACCAAGTATTACATCACCATCATCGACGCCCCCGGCCACCGTGACTTCATCAAGAACATGATCACGGGCACGTCCCAGGTGGGCGGGGCACCACCGCTGGGGCTGGGGGAGCGGCTGCTGCACCCCTTCAAAGATACTGGGGGGCCCCGAGGTCACCCTGGGGTGGTGGGGACCCCTCACGTGTGCCACCCTCATTCATTCGGGGTCAAAGCTCCCCAAGAACGAATCCAGTGCCTGTGAGGACACCCGGCCAGTGTCAGAGTCCCCAGGTAGACGGGGCAGATGTGGGCATGGACACACGTTCATAGACAGAGGGGCTGGAGGCCAAGATGGGGATGTGAGCAGCGGGCAGAGGTGCCACTAGCCAGGCCTGGACTGGATGCCATTTTGGAGCACTCACAGAGATGCACAGACACCCAGACACAGCGCCCTGCAGACAGCAGGACGCACACCACCACCTCCAAACTGCTTCGATAACGATGACCTCCATCTGTCCTCAAGTGAGGAACAGGACCAGAGAGGTGGAGTGACTTGTCCAGGGGCACAAAGCCCATTGGTGGGGAAGCCGGGGCTGAACCTAGGGCCCCTGACCCAGGGCCTGGCAATGAGGCCCCCAAACTGCCCTTGTGGCAGGGACCCCTATGTCTCCTTCCCCAAGGCTTCAGTGGGCTGCTCAGGTCCCAGCCCACTGCCTGGATAAACCTTGGAGTGAGGTGAAGCCGGGCTTGCTCCGTCCCCCGCCGGGCAGGTGGGGCCGGGCTCACTGCGTCCCCCGCTGGACAGGCGGACTGTGCAGTCCTGATCGTGGCGGCGGGCGTGGGCGAGTTCGAGGCGGGCATCTCCAAGAATGGGCAGACTCGGGAGCACGCCCTGCTGGCCTACACTCTGGGCGTGAAGCAGCTCATCGTGGGCGTGAACAAGATGGACTCCACGGAGCCGGCCTACAGCGAGAAGCGCTACGATGAGATCGTCAAGGAGGTCAGCGCCTACATCAAGAAGATCGGCTACAACCCGGCCACCGTGCCCTTCGTGCCCATCTCCGGCTGGCACGGCGACAACATGCTGGAGCCCTCACCCAACGTGAGTGGCTGGCCAGGGCGGGGCGGGCCATGGGGGCTGGCCGGGCCCCCTGTCCCAGAGCGAGGCAGCTGTAGGTGGCAGCGGGAGGTTGAGAGCCTCTTCCTGGGACATGCAGGTTCCCCGCAAACCCTGCTGGGTTTCCCTGGAGCCCCATCCCCCTCAGCACTGTGTTGCCCCTCCACTCAGCCTCCCAGGAGACTGGTCCCCCACGTCAGCGCTCCATGGGCAGCGGCCTGCAGCACCAGGCCCACGAGCTTGGTCTCCAGGGCCCTGCCATGGGGGTGCTCAGTTTCATCTCTGCCAGGCCTTTATCCTGACCCTGGACACCATGCCGTGGCTGCAAGCTGGGCCGTGGGGGGCTCCCTGGCTGCCTCCTGGGGTCTTGGAGCAGACTTGGGCTGTGGGAAGTGTGGAGACATCTGGGCTGACTGGGAAGGCCAAGGGTTGGCTCTTGGCTGGTCAATTGGCAGCTCAAGGCATGAGCAGCCTGTGGCTCAGGGACTCCGCCTTGGCTGGAGATGATGAGTGGAGACACTTTCAGAACCTGAGACTGTGTTCCCAGGGTCCTCCAAGCCAGGACCCCCGAATGGCCGCCACTGGGTTCTGCCAGCACGGTAGCCCACAGTGAGGGTGCCGGTGTGGAGTCCAGAGACGGCGGGGAGGCTGAGAGCAGCAGCAGAGCCCAGAGCTGAGGTCTGGGGACAGGGCTGATAGGGACTGCCCCAGCCTGGCCTCCGTCTCTTGTGGCTGGTGGCGTTTACCTGTGGTGACACTTTCCTCACAGGCTATGATGTCGCGAAGGCCATCTACTTCCTCTCCAGGGAGGCCCCCAGCAATCAGGGACCCCGCAGTCTGCTTACACAGGCCCTGGGGGGTGGGGCGCAGTGTGGCTGGCAGGGAGGCTCTGTGGGGAGGGGGCAGGGCCGCACCGGGGGACGCTCCGGGCAGGGGCTGGGCTGGGCTGAGCTTGGAGGCAGCATGGTGTCCAGGAGCCAGGGTCGGGGCGAGGCTCCCCCCAGCTCTGTCCCCAGGGGGCCCGGCCCTTGGCCAGACTCGGCCTCCTCCTGTTAAGTCACCTGCCCTGCCTGGATCTGATGGTCAGGCTTCCCAGGGCTTGTGGCTGGAGTGGGGGTTTGTTTCCAGTGTCAGCAGCTCCTGAGCAGCCTGGGCTGGTTTTCGTACTCCACCTTTAAGAAGGGTCTCCCTCCAGGGTCCCTGTGATGCTGGGGCTGTGAGCAGGGGTGGAGCAGTGTGGGAAATTCTTCATCTCAAAGGGCATGAGGCCAGGTTAGCCTGAACAGAGCACTCCCGGAGGCCGCCCAGGGAGGCCTGAGGCTGGGGAGGCCGCTGTCTCTGCAACGGACCGGTTTTCTCCCTTCCACCCAGATGCCGTGGTTCAAGGGCTGGAAGGTGGAGCGCAAGGAGGGCAACGCGAGCGGCGTGTCCCTGCTGGAGGCCCTGGACACCATCCTGCCCCCGACGCGCCCCACGGACAAGCCCCTGCGCCTGCCGCTGCAGGACGTGTACAAGATCGGCGGTGAGCCAGGGCGCTGTGCCGAGGCCTGCCCGGCCAGCTCTGCCTGCCCCGGACCAGGGCCCTGTGAGGCTTCTCAAGACTCGGCCGTCTTCAGTCTCTCCCCTTGCCACACACTTTCTGGGGGACATTCCAGCCCCCATCCATCCCCCATCCATCCCCCATCCATCCCCCATCCAGCCCCCATCCATCCCCCATCCATCCCCCATCCAGCCCCCATCCAGCCCCCATCCATCCCCCATCCATCCCCCATCCATCCACCTCCCAACCCATCCATCCCCTCTATCCATCCATCCATCTCCCCATCTATCCTTTCATTCATCCATTTTCCTTCCACCTCTCCATCCATCCATCCATCCATCCACTCACCCATCCACCTCCCTGCCCATCCAAGTATCTGTTCATCCACCCATCCACCAATCCACCTCCCCATCCATCCATCCATCCATCCATCCAACCATCCATCCACCCACCCACCTCCCCATCCATCCATCCATCCATCCACCCACCCACCTCCCTACCCATCCACTTTTCTACCCATCCACTCTTCCATCCCTCCATCTTCCTATCCATTCACCCATCCACCCACATTCCCACCCATCCATCCTACTGTCCACCCACCCATCCATCCACCCACCCACCTCCCCACCCATCCATCCACCCATCTACCCACCCACCTCCCCACCCATCCCCATCCATCCTGCCTTCTGTCCGTCCACCTCCCCATGCATCATCCACCTCTCCATCCATCCATCCATTCATCTCCCCAAGAAGAGAAACCATAAACAAATCTGAGACCCCAGAGAGCGGCACTGATAGGAGACCCCCAGCCAGGGGGCTGCAGCCAGAGATGTTGCAGGCATCTGTGTGCACAGTCGGGGTGTCATGCTCACCCCAACACAGAGCGCAGTCACCAGCTTCAGTGAAGCCGGCTGGAGGTGACACGGGCCTCCATCACAGCCCAGGGAGGTGAGGGTGGAGGTACCCTGGGGGAGACAAGACCCCCATGAGGCGGCCACACAATCGGTGTCAGCAGATCCATAAGAAACGCTGGGGACGCTCAGGTGCCACCGCACCTGTGCTGTGTCCAGCTGAGTGGCCTCTTTAACGACAGAGACCTGCAGCATGTAAGTGCAGCCCCTGCGGGAGCAGGGCCACCAGGCCCCAGGCGGGAGCAGTCCAGTGGCCGGGCCCACACTCAGGGAGGGGTCCTCAGAGAGAGTAGGGGCCCCACAGTGCCGCCTCTGAGGGAAAGTGCTCCCAGGGGCATGGATGGGACCCCAGGTTCAGACAGCCCCCTCTCTGCCTGTCCTCCCCCTTCTCTGCCCCCATGGCTTTTCCTTGGGTTCCTGGGAGCTCTCCTGCTCAGCCTCTTATCTCCCCAGCTGGGCAGGGGAGCCCCTGCTTCCCCTGGAATCTCTGAGTCTCCTGGTCCCTGGACTCCCCTCCCCCGCACTCTGTCCACGGGGCCCCATCCCCCCCAGGCCAGTTGGGGGGACTGAGTCCCAGACTTTGCGGGTCTCCAGGCTCTGTCCCCAGATCTCCTGCCCAGCACCCCCTCAGCCCCGCCTCCCCTCACAGCCCCTCTCTCGCAGGCATCGGCACGGTGCCCGTGGGCCGGGTGGAGACCGGCATCCTGCGGCCGGGCATGGTGGTGACCTTCGCCCCGGTGAACATCACCACGGAGGTGAAGTCGGTGGAGATGCATCACGAGGCCCTGAGCGAGGCTCTGCCCGGCGACAACGTGGGCTTCAACGTGAAGAACGTGTCGGTCAAGGACATCCGCAGGGGCAACGTGTGTGGGGACAGCAAGTCCGACCCGCCTCAGGAGGCTGCGCAGTTCACCTCCCAGGTCGGCGGCTGCGGGGGGTCCCGGGGCGCGCGCCTGCGCGGCAGGAGGGGAGCCGGCCTTGGTGAGGCTGCTGTCGGCAGGTGGCCTGGCGGGGGAGAAAACGGACCCCACTCCACCGCCGGGGCCACCGAGGACTCAGCGGGGTGTACATCGGTGCCGGGAGGGGCCCAGGCCTGGCGGCTCCCGGCCTCTGCGCGGTCCCTGGGTCCGCCGCCCACGCCAAACTGCGGGGATGCCCGGCCTTCGAGGCCCGACTTTCATCCTGGAAAAGCGCTTTTTTTAACTTCCTGCCTGAGACAGCGCCGTCGTGGTTTCGTTCTCTGTATCTGTTTCCACCGCCCCCTCTTTGCTGGCCTCGTCATATATTTTTTTTTTTTTTTTTTTTTTTGAGTCATAGTCTCACTCTGTCACCCAGGCTGGAGGGCAGTGGTACGCTCTCAGCTCACTGCAACTTCTGCCTCTTGGGTTCAAGCGATTCTCCTGCCTCAGCTTCCCGAGTGGGTGGGACTACTGGCACCCACCACCAAGGCCGGCTAATTTTTGTATTATTAGTAGATATGAGATTTCACCATGTTGGCCAGGCTGGTCTCGAACTCCTGACCTCAAGTGAGCCGCCCACCCTGGCCTCTGAAAGTGCTGGGATTACAGGGGTGAGCCACCGAACCTGGCCTCTTCGTATGACTTTTAAAGTGGCTTTATTGAGAGACAATTGAAATACAGGAATTGAGGCCCACCCCTGGCCTTTGTTCCAGCTGGGGTTGGCCAAGTAAGTGCTGCTCCTGCCCCTTTGAAACAATGAACTTCTCAGCTGTTTCTCTCTTGCTTAATGAGGATGTTACGGTTCAGGTCTGGGGCGTTCAGGTCTGGGGGGCTCAGGTCTGGGGGGTTCAGGTCTGGGGGGTTCAGGTCTAGGGGCTGGTCCTCAGAGCCTGAGCTTCTTCTACTCAGCACGTGGGCCCGTAGGGGGGCCTGTGACTGGGCCTCCCAGCCCTGCTCTGGGCCCTGATGGTGCCCACCGTGGCCGGGCCTGAAGGTGCCCACCGTGGCCGGGCCTGATGGCTGTCCGTGGCTCTGCCCCCAGGTCATCATCCTGAACCACCCCGGGCAGATCAGCGCTGGCTACTCCCCAGTCATCGACTGCCACACGGCTCACATCGCCTGCAAGTTTGCAGAGCTGAAGGAGAAGATTGACCGGCGCTCTGGCAAGAAGCTGGAGGACAACCCCAAGTCCCTGAAGTCTGGTGACGCGGCCATCGTCGAGATGGTCCCTGGAAAGCCCATGTGTGTGGAGAGCTTCTCCCAGTACCCGCCTCTCGGTGAGCTGGGCTGGTGCCCGGGCGGTGGCTGATCAGGCAGAGGGCAGGGGACTGCAGGATGGGGCATGGGTGGCAGCAGGGCCTCCTTTCCTGTGGAGCTCAGAGCTGGCAGGAGGCCCATGGGCTCCATGTCACCGAGTGCAGGCGGCCCTCTGGGGGACCTGGGATGGGTTCTGTGTGCAGATGGGGCCCCGAAGGTGAGGAGGCCCCAGGGTCAGGAGGCCCCCAAGGGGAGCAGGCCCGGGTGAAGAAGAGCCCACAGCTCCTCCCGTGGAGGAGAAGACCCCACAGCCTGCCCGTGGCTGCCCTGAAGATTCTGGAACAGCCACGGGGCAGGGCCCCGGGAGACCAACCGTCTGCACCAGGGCTCGCTCGGAGCTGAGTGTGTTCTCGCGGCATTTCCGACGCGGCTTCGCCTGCCCGCCCAGCTGGAGCCCCGGGTTCGAGTCCTCCGCCCCGCTCACGCGCCCCCGCCCCCCGCCCCCCGCCCCCAGGCCGCTTCGCCGTGCGCGACATGAGGCAGACGGTGGCCGTGGGCGTCATCAAGAACGTGGAGAAGAAGAGCGGTGGCGCCGGCAAGGTCACCAAGTCGGCGCAGAAGGCTCAGAAGGCGGGCAAGTGAAGCGCGGGCGCCCGCGGCGCGACCGTCCCCGGCCCCGCCGCGCCCCGAACCCCGGCCCGGCCCCCGCCCCGCCCCCGCCCCGCGCGCGGCCCCGGCGCCCCGCACCCCCGCCAGGCGCATGTCTGCACCTCCGCTTGCCAGAGGCCCTCGGTCAGCGACTGGATGCTCGCCATCAAGGTCCAGTGGAAGTTCTTCAAGAGGAAAGGCGCCCCCGCCCCGGCTTCCGCGCCCCGCGCCCTCCTCGCTCGGTGCCGGTTTTACTAATAAACTGAGCGACCCCCGAGCCGTGTGCGCCTGCTGCTGGGGGTGGGCCCCGCGCGCCCCGGACCCCAGGGTGGGCGGTGGCCCCGCGGGCGTGTCCCCTGCGCTGCACAGGGTGGGCGCTGCGCCCTCGGCGAGGGGTGCCCGGTGTTCCCCAGGCCGTGGCCCCAGCCGAGGCCCCGCTGGCCCACGTGGTTGTGAGAGGCTTCTGCGTGGCAGAGACCCCAGGGCAGAGGACGGGCTGAGGGTTCCCGGGCCTCTGGGGCCCGCATGAGAGCCAAGGGCTCCCGCACCGCGAGTGGCTGTCGCGCACACACCCTTCCCCTGGCCCGGAACGCCCGGTCTCACTCTTCTCCTAAGCCTGGCACTTGTGGCTGAAGCTGGCCCCTGCCCCTCTGTGTCCGGTCCAGGCCTTCTGTACATGGTTGTAGGAACCCAGCCCCCAAAGCCTGGAGGCTGGGGACTTCAGTCAGTGGGCTGGGGACTTTGGGTCTTCCCTAGGGTCCCTGGTCTCTCTGGGCCAGAACCTGCCCTAACTCTTGGCCAGCGAGGGTGGGGGCGGGGGCAGGACAGCTCCCTTCCACCCTCCCTGCTCTGAGACAGCGGCCCGGGCACACAGCCAGTCATGCTACAGTGGGTGAAGGTTGGGATGGAGGGTGGGTGGGCTTCCTGATGATACAGGTGAGGGTCGGGTTGAAGAGTGGGTGGGTTCCCTGATGATACAGATGAGGGTTGGGGTGGAGGGTGGGCTCCCTGATGATATAGGTGAGGGTCGGGGTGGAGGGTGGGTTCCCTGATGATACAGGTGAGGGTCGGGATGGAGGGTGGGTTCCCTGATGATACAGGTGAGGGTCGGGATGGAGGGTGGGTGGGTTCCCTGATGATACAGGTGAGGGTCGGGATGGAGGGTGGGTGGGTTCCCTGATGATACAGGTGAGGGTCGGGATGGAGGGTGGGTGGGTTCCCTGATGATACAGGTGAGGGTCGGGATGGAGGGTGGGTGGGTTCCCTGATGATACAGGTGAGGGTCGGGATGGAGGGTGGGTGGGTTCCCTGGTGATACAGGTGAGGGTCGGGGTGAATGGTGGGTGGGTTCCCTGACCCTGCACACAGTACTGAGGGGCGCATCTCTGTTACCCAGCCCCCGACCTCCGCCTGCAGCCGAGTACCTTACTGGGGGTTCTCCTGCAGGGCGGGCGGGCCGACCACAAGGCCCTGTAGTGTGTTTGTTTCTTGGGGATGCTGCGACCGATGACTGCAAATGGCGAGGCCTCCGGGGGCCCAAAGCAGCCTCACTGCGGACATGAAGGTGTCAGCAGGGCTCTGCTCTGCAGGCTCCAGGAGAATTGGGTCCCTGCTTCACTCCCTGCTGTGGCAGCGTCCCCTAGACTCTGCCTCGGTGGTCACACTGCCTTCTCCTCCCGTGTGAATCCCCCTCCATCGAGAATGTGTGTGATTGCATGAGGACCCACCTGGAATAACCCAGGGTGACCCCCGTCGACATCCTCAGCCACATCTGCAGAATCCTTTCCTGCCCACAGGGAGCCAGACTGGTCTGGGCGTGGGGGCCTGACCTCCTGCTGCGTGCTGGACCCACTGCGCTGGGTGAGGCTGGAAATGAGGCAGGGCCAGTGACAGGCAGTGGTGACGGGGGCGCGGTCCGGGCACCCTTGGAAGGCCTGCCCATGTCTTCCCCCATTCCCAAAGTGGGGTGCCCTGAAACCCACGAGAGAGGGAGGCAGAACGGGAGGAAGATCGGAGCAGCCGGGCAGGAGTGTCGGGAGCTTGGGCCCCCGGGGGGTGCTGGCAGCCCACAGCCCTAGACGGGGAGGATTTGAATCCATGAACGTTAGAGCCACGAGGCCTCCAAGGAGGAGACACAGGACGCGGTCACATCAGGACTTTGGAGATATACTAAATAATTGTTTAGTATAAATTAGTTGGGCCGTATTCACACAAAAATGTAAATTCTCCTTATCTGGAATTCTGATCTGGATGGGTGTCCTGTGTTTACCTAGTGGCCCTGCCCAGGGACACCAGGTGTTCCTGATGGACCCTGGCCCATCCTGGGTGTCCACGTGGCCACCACTGGTGGGAGGGGCTGAGTGAGACCCGAAGGGTCCGTGTGAGGGTGTCCTTCACGTGACCTGGTTATAGAACTGGAGCCAAATGGGACAAATCTGTCAGCCTGAGACAGAACAACAGTGAGAAACAGCTCCCAGCTGGAGTGGCAGGAGCCCCCCCAGGTAGGCCCTGAGGTGCTCAGGGCCTCCACGTCCCAGTTGCAGTGGCAAAGTCTGGATGGCTCTGGCAGCCTTGGTCACCTGGGCACTGCTGGTGGGGGTAAGCCCTCCCTGCCCGCCGTGCTCAGTGCAAGGCCACAGTGCTCCCCAGGTGGGCATGTTTCTGGGTGGGGAACAGCAGGAGAAAGGCAGACAGGTGGAACACTCCCTGGTCCCACTGGGGTCCTCAGCAGAGAGTCTCCAGGGAGGGGCTCTAACCTCAACTCCCCTTCTGAGGTGGAGTAATGAAGGCAGGCCCAGGTCTGTGGGTCTGGTGCCTGGCAGGGCTCCGGGCCTTGCTGTGCCCCTTGTGCCGGGGTGGGGGGCTGTGGGGTGGGGACCAGCAGTGGCCAGAGGAGGCCGGGATCTGGGGCTGGGCTCCTGGTGTCCATCGTGGGTGGGGACAGCACACAGGGTGCCAGGATTGCCCTGTGGATGCTGGGCAGGGGATATCCTGTCCTCTGGGGAGGGCAGGGACTTGGCTGAAGCTGGCCCTGGGGGCCCCAGCCCTCGGTCTCTGGGTAGTTCTGGTGCCACCCAGACGAGGGCAGGTGGGGTTTCTGGCGGGTGAGACCCGGGGAAGCAAGTTGTGCTCCTTAGTCAGGAAGGGGGCTGGGGGTGCTGGGCAGAGCCCTGCGTTGCCTCAGACCAGTGGCGCTCAAGAGCTTTGGTCCGCAGACCAGGGCACGGTGTTAAAGTCTGGGAGGTCACACCTGCCGCTACTTGGTGTGCTGGAAATTAAATGTGAGAAGTATTAAAGAGACAAAAACAGTGTCCTCCTTCTTGTGGTCTCTGAGAACTCCACTGTCCACTCGAGGACAGGAGCGAGGAGCCTTGGTACTGTGAAAACACGTTTGACCTTGGGGCTTTCTGGAAGGTTCTTGGGGTCCCCGGGGACCGGGACCAAGCTTTGTGACCGAGGCTCTAGGCCGCAGAGGAGCAGGCAAGGTGAGGGGTGGAGTCCCAGCCCCAGCACCCGCGGAGCGCCTTCTCTGTCGGCGAAAGGGGGTCACAAGGGACCTGCCCTGAGGGGCGTGGCCAGGATGAAAGGAGCCACCCTGGAGGGGCGTGTCCGAGCCGGGAACCGGACCGGCACCTTTGTGCCCTCCTCTCTGAGTGAGGCTCCTGCCCTCTGGCTCCCGCCCCGACCCTCCTGTGGGGCCTGATTCTCTCCAACTGTCAGAGAGGGGCCTCTGCCGCTGCCTCTCTCTTCCTGAACGGGCTGCTCCTTGGGGTCAGTGGAGGGTGGGCTTTTTTCCCGCAGCAGGTGGGGGCAGGGGCGTGGGGAGGGGCAGCGCTGACTGGGTTGGGTGAGGGTGGAACGCTCTGCGGGTGTTGGCTTGGGGAGCCCGTGGACACCCGGGGGGCGGTGGCGGCGGCGAGGGCCAGGGAGGTCCACAGCCAGGCAGGGCCTGGAGCCCCGGCCAGCGGGGACTGCGCGGCCTCAGGGCCTGGCCCCAGGGCCGCGTTCCTTGATGCTCGCCGCTGGCTGGACACCTGGGCTGCTGTCTGGCTGAAGGGGACCCCGTGGCCCAGAGAGTGGTTCTGCCTGGCAGCCGCCGGGACTCGGGGTCAGTCCCAGGGCAGCCGGAGCCCCGGAGCAGGTCCTGAAGCCAAGGCATGGGTGGGGGAAGGAACTGCACCCCACTTGGGTTGGCGAGTAATTTAAGACAGGATCCACCGAGACACCCTATTGGCGGCTTCAATCTGCACTTTGGACGCCGCTGAAAAATTCATGAGGCCTCAAGAGGCTGAGCGGCCACGTGTCATCGTCCCGCCCCTGTCTCCGCCCGGCTTCCCACAGGAAGGACCTTCCCACTCCACTGCAGGTTCCCAGAGTGGCTGGAAGGGCCTGGCTGCCCTGGGCAGTCCGGGGTTTGTTCGGCAGCTTCTGGGCTCCCTGCCAAGGGGCTGGGCTTTGCGCAGGGGTCAGGCCTCCACGGTGGGACCTGGGGATTTCCCGTGAGCTGTGACTGCGGTGTCTCAGTGCGACCGAGTGTGTCTTGGAGCCAGACTGCAGGCACCGGGTTACCTAAGTCCAGGCCTGGTGTGTGTGTGACCTGGGTGTAGAACTGTGCATACCTGTGGGTGACTGTGGGGTGCAGGGGAGAAGTTGGTGGGTGTCCTGGAGCCCCTGGAAATGGCCAGTGCCTACGTGCGTGTGTGCCTGTTCATTTGTGCCTGTGTGCCTGTGCATGCAGTTCGTGTGTTCGTGCGTGTCTGTGCATGTGCATGCCTGCGTGTGTGTGCGTGCATGTGTGTGTGCGTGTGTGCGTGCGTGTGCATGTGTGTGTGCATGCATGTATGTGCGTGTCTGCGTGTGCATGTGTGCGTGTGTGTGCGTGCATGTGTGTGCGCGCCTGCGTGTGCGTGTGTGTGCATGCATGTGTGTGTGTGCATGCGTGTGCACTGGGCAATCTGGCTGCACCTATGCTGCTGGCTGGCTGCCTGCAGTCAGGGCTGAGTCTTGGGGGGTGCCCGCCGGGTGGCTGGATCCAGGAAGCACTGGGCAACGGTCCCTGTCCCGCAGCCAGGCAGGGAGAAGCTGGCCCAGGGGACTGGTGGGACTGGCAGGTTCAAGAACCTTGAGGCAGCTCCAGACTCTGCTAAGGGGAGGGAAGCCCCACTCCCCCTACCCGCGAGAGGGGTCATCATGAGTGGTGTTGGGAGGAGCTGTGGGGTCTGGCTTATTTCCAGGCTTCGTGCTGCTCTGGTGCATTGCTTTGGGGGTCGGCCGG